CGAGGAGACGGTCGACGAGCTCAAGGCGCTCGTGCAAGAGGGCAAGATCCGCGCGATCGGCCTGTCGGAGGCGTCTGCTGCGAGTATTGCGCGCGCGTCGGCGGTGCACCCCATCGCGTGCCTGCAGACTGAGTTCGGGCCGATGGAGACGAGCATCGAGCAGAACGGCATCCTGGAAGCCTGCCGCAAAAACAACGTGCTCGTGCTGGCGTACGGCGTGGTGCAGCACGGATTTCTTTCGGACAAAGGCCTGAGTCCCTGGGACGAATTTCGAGACGCTGCTTCGCGTGCCTTCTACCCCCGTTTCCACAAGGAAAACTACGAGCACAACCAGGGACTGCTTAGGCAGCTCCAGCGCTTTATCGAGCAGAGGCAACTCAACATCTCGATCTCGGCGCTCGCCGTGGCGTGGGTCATGCGCCGCGGCGGCTACGCGACCGAGACGGATGCGCGCATCATGCCCCTGCTGGGCATGAGGACGACCCGCTCGTTGCAGGACAACATCAAGGCCGCCAAGTTTGCCAGCCTCATGTCGCAGCACGACGCAGACGCGCTCGAGCGAACGCTGCGCGCGTTCGAGATCCGTGGCCAGAGGTATCCTCCGCACGTCATGAAGGGCGTGGAACAGTGATGCCCAGTCGAATGCCTCCTAGTAGAACCGTGTAATCAGAATCGCCACTGTTGTCGCCCGCACAACGAGCTTCGCCCTCCTCGAGCTGCAGTAAGAGATGAGACAGCGATCCATTTGGACGACCGCCTCTGCGTCCTGAGCACACAAGGCAACTTCAAAATGCCGGCTCGTGGGACGCAGTGGCAGGTCAGCACGTCGATCGAGATGAGTCAAGTTGGGTGGCTCGTGCGACGTGTTCATGCTGCCACTCGCTTTTTACCCCACAGAGCACACAGGGCAGCATCCGAATTGGCGTTCTCCCCCATCGTACGCGGGCGTCGTGCGAAGCGTCCGGCCCTGTGGTCTCAAGAGGGGCGGGGACACGGTGAGTTGCGGGAACGAGGTTGCGTGAGAAACGCGCCACTCCTCGCGTGACGCAGTGTCTGGCCTGTGAGCGCATCTGCTACGATCGCCCAGCCGCAGGCAGGCGACGACAGAGTGTTCGTAGAAGTCGACCGGTCCATTCAGGCCGCCGAGCACGTCGGTTATCTCCCCATTTCTCAACTGTACGGTACTGTACAGTACGTCAAGTCGAGACGCATGGAATCGGACGCCGTCACACCACGACCAATTTGGCAGAAGCTCGAAATAAAAGCCCCTCGAGCGCGCTCGAGCAGCCGCATCCCCCCTTCCCCATCTACGCGCCTCAGACCGTAGCAGCCCACAAGCATGCCGACGGCGACCAAGACGCGGCTCAACATTATCATCTGCGGCGGAGGCATCGCGGGCCTCGCGGCGGCGGGGGCGCTCGCGCCCCACCACAACGTGACCGTGCTCGAGCGCAAGCCGGACATCCGCGAGGGCGCGTACGGCATCAACCTGAAGCCGAACGCGTCGCTGGTGGCGATCGAGCTGCTCGGCATCGAAGTGACCCCACCCCCCTCCTCTTTCTCCTTCACGTCTTCCGAAGCGGAAGCGGGTGGTGGAATGAGGGGGGTGCCTTGCCGCGAGGTGGTGGAGAGGTCTGCCGAGGACGGGGTCGAGCAGATGCGGATCGGTGTCGACGCAGAGACGATGTTCGGCGCACCCTGGTACTTGTGCCGGCGCGACGAGCTGCTGCAGCAGCTGTACCGCACGGCGCGCCAGAGAGGCGTGTATGTGCGGCTCGACGTGCGCGTCCAATCCCTGGACCAGGAGAATACTGCCGATGGCCGCGCGTGCGGCCCGGTCAGCATCCAGACCTCGAACGGCGAGACGCTCCATGCCGACTTGGTGCTAGGTGAGTCGATGTTTCACACGGCTGGGCCGTGCAGTCCTGTGCGCGCGTATCGCATGCTGACGTTGCCCGATGTTGCCTTTGACCCGCTCGCGACACGCAGTGGCGGACGGGATCGCGTCCAAGCTGCGCAGGTACGTGCTCGACGGGCGTGGCAGCGTGCCGAACGGGCTGGCTGCGCCCGGCAGCGCGTCGACCAAGGATGCGCTGATCGTCGATTCGGGGCAGGTGGCGTTCCGGGCGCTGGTGGCGTGGACGGACCTGGCTGGCGACGCGACGCTGTCGTACCTCACGCGCCCGTCGCACGGCGGGCTGTACGTATGGGCGGGCCGCAAACAGCGTCTGGTCGCCTACCCGTGCCCGGGGAGCGTCAACATTGTGGCGATCGTCGACAGAGACTCGCTGCACCCTGCTGCCGCTAGCGCCTCGTCGGCGCCCTCAGCTGCGACGGCAGAGGTGCTGCGCGACCAGTTCGGCACGTTCCACTCGAGCGCGACGCGGCTGCTGGACCACGTGCGCACCGCGAGCCTGTGGGCGCTCAACGACCTCGAGCCGCTTGCGCGCTCCGGCCGCGGGTGCGTGTACCTGGTCGGCGACGCCTCGCACGCCACGCTCCCGCACCAGGGCCAGGGCGCCTCGCTGGCTTTCGAGGACGCCGAGGCGCTCGCCACCATGCTCGCCGACCTGGACGATGCGTCGTCCACCACCATCGGGCGTGCGCTGCACGCGACGAGTGTGCTGCGCACACCGCGCATCCGTGCGATCCAGCACGCCAGCCGCGTCATGGCGCGCCCCGCCGACTACGCCAAGGGCGAAAAGGGCGACGCCCTGCGCTTCAGCCAGCTCATGCTCAAGTACAAAGGCATTAACGACCTCGCCCGCACCGACTCCAAACAGCCCTGACCCCTTCCTTCCACAGCACTCTCGCCGTCGGCTCCTTTTGACCGATTTGCCCATGTCCTGTTCATTTAGCTTGTAAAACCCTGAAGAAAAGAGAGCGAGGCGCCTTGGAACCCGAGTGACGTTGCTAGGCTACACCGTTGAGCACGGCTTCCAGGAGGGACGAGACCCACTGCGGGATGTCTGTATCCTGGGGGCCGTCCGTGGCGGCGGCGTTCGTCGCGAGATCCGCCTCGAAGCCTACGACCATAGCGGACCCATCTGGATACGCGCTCGCCGGCACCTCTGCGTGCATTGGCAGCCTGGACCACGGCGGCTGCGCCGGATACGGCATCTCGTCCTCTGCGGACCCCGACTGATGCTGGTGCTGGTGGTGATGTGCGCTCGAGACGAGGCTCGACGCATGGTGTCGGAATATCTGGTGTGCGGCTGAGGCGTGAGCGTCGGCGGCAGCGGTGGACGAGCTCGAGTCCTGCAGGTGTACGGTGCGGTCCGGCTGGATATGCAGCACGTGGAACGCCTCCTGTCCGTTGGCGTGCGCGCCGGCGCTCGGCGGGCCCTGCGCGATCGTGCCGGCACGGTCGAGCGTCTCGGGCCCAACAAAGTTGGACAGCAACGCGCGGCTCGACGCCGCCGCGCGATCGTCCATCTTGTCTGCCGCCGCGTTGATGCGCACGAGTAGCCGGTCGAGTCTCTCCCTCACCGGCGTATCCGTCGACGAGGGCTCGGCCCGGATGACCTCGTGGATGAGCCAGGTGAGCCTGGCGACCTGGACGCCCTGGTCGGCCAGCGCGTCGAGCTGGGCTGCGACCCAGCCGAGCGCGCCGACGACGCGCGCGCGCAGGGAGGCGTGGATCCAGCCGAGCTCGAGGTCGAGCACGAGCGCGAGCGCCGAGCGCACGAGTAGCAGGCCGTTGTGGTTGAACCGGAAGAACGCCGGCCAGAGCGCGCACACCCTGGCCGAGAGCGAGAGGTGGCGCAGCGCCGCGGCGTGCAGCTCGCCGCGCAGCGCGTCGCGTCGCCCGGGCGCCATGCGGCACAGCACCAGCACGCGCAGCGTGGTCGCATTGAGGTGCAGCACGAGGCGGTCCAGATCTTGCGCGCGGCCGGCGCCCTCGCCGCGCGAAGAAGCCGCCTGCCCACCCGTGCTCGAGCTGCGATGCGCAGCCGGATGCAGCGCAGCCTGCGACTCGGCACGCGGATCCGAATGCTCGGGAGGCAGGCTCTGCGCGTACCTCTCAATGTCGCCGCACAGCCGAGCCGCGATGCCGGCAGGGATGGTGTCGGTGGCGCTGTGCTTGCTGTGCTCAAAGACGGTGAGGCACACTTGCTGCGCCAGCGTCACAAAGCGCACTACGAGCTCGTCGTACGACTCCGACGCGCCGTCCGCCGCGGCCCGCAAGGGGATCGGGTACGGCCAGGAGATGAAGCCGTCGTGATCCGGATGCGCGAGCGCCGCCTGGCACTCGTGCAACGCCATGACGCTTGTGAGGCGGATCTGAGAACGGACGTGCTCTGCGTTGGCATGGCCCGAGTCGAACGTGCGATGGAACTTGAGCCTGCGAGCCAACGCCAAGGCGGATGCCGCCAGCGAGTCTCGACGCGCCGCCTGCCTCGGCTCGAGGCAGACCGAGCCCATCACCTGGAGCGCCGCGAGCGCGGTGAAGCTCGGATTTGCAAGGAAATCGGCAAGATGCAACGCCTTGAGGCACGACTCGTGCCACGCCTTGACGGTGAAGGGGATGGTGAGCTTGACCTGTCCGCCGGGCCCGTCCGAATTGGCAAAGCCGGTGAGCCCGGCGACGCGCACGTTGAGGAACGAGTGGTTGAGATTCAATGACGCCGCCGAAGCGGCGGGATGGTGGGCGTGGGGCACCCAACCGCACGCCAGCAGCGCCGTACGCTGCTGCGGCACGTCCGGATCCGCGGCGTACAGCCCGGCGGCAAAGACGGCGATGAGCAGCGCGAGGAAGGCGGGCGAGACGCTGGGGCGGCGTGCGTGGAGCAGGTCGAGGTAGAGGCCGTCGACGTTGGTGTGCAGGCCGGCGCGGTCGATCGAGTGGAAGAGCAGGTGGTTGGGCAGCGCAAAGAAGGCGTCGATGAGCGCATCCGCAATGTGACGGCGAGGGAAGAGCACCAGCAGCCGAGTGAGGAAGGCTGCATGCAACGAGCTGGTGGCCGAGCCCGAGCCCGAGCCTGAAGCGTCGGCGTCGCCATCGGCATCGGTGGAAGACGCCGAGTCGACCCAGGGCGAGTGATCGAGCGCAGCAAGCCGGATGTCGGACGAGAGCTTCTCCAGCGCGCCCGACTCGGATTCGAGCTTCGAGCCGGCCGTGTTGGTGAAAGCGATGCGATGGTGGGGCGGTTGCGCTTCGTCGGCGACCAAGCGCGGCGAGGGCTGGGCAGGAGGAGTTTCGGCGGCGGCACACAGGTCGGAGAGTAACGACAGGTCGGAGAAAGGCGCCACCGACTTGGGCGTGGTGCTGGACGACAAGAGAGAGGACGACGATGCGGACGGCAGGCCAGGAGGTAGGCGCTGGACGAGGTGCGATTCGAGGCATTCGAGCTTATGCTGCAGCTCGTTGAACTGCTCAACGGTAGCATACGACTTTCTGCACAGCGCCATAGCAAGAGGGTAGAGTGTGAGATGCGTGCCATCAGCAATCGAGAGCAGAGGGAGGCTCAAGGGTAAGCAATGGGGGAATGCGACGTACCTGTCTGTGCGGAGACGTTGGTAGGTGCCCGAGTGGCAGAGGTGGGGTTCGTCTCGATTGATGCACGCCGAGCATGGGCGCTGCTTGTCGCATCGGATCTTGCGGCGACCGCACTCGGTGCAGCTTTTGAGCTCGCGAGCGGGGACGTGGGGAGGATGCAGGCTTGGCTTGGAAGCCGAGCTCGGCGTGGTCGAAGCTGCCGCGAGCGATGTCGTGGTCGAGGCGGTGCTGCTGGCGGCCACCGTGGCTGGGGCCGCTGGGGCCGCTGGGGCCGCT